GAAGCCAGAGAATATTTTTTTCGCTTACCTTTGTTCGGTTTTAACGAGGTGGCTCGACGGACGGTTCTCTTTCTTCGATTCCTCTTGCTCTCGTTTAGGGGTCAGTAAGGGGCGAACGAAGCTTTCAGTCGATGGTATGTCACGGTGGACGTCCCGTTCTCGTTCCGATCGCGTTCCACGACGTTCACGGCACGAAGGGCGGCATGCTACTGCCCGAATCATCCCCGTTTCGCCCCCGACTCACCCCATTATTAGGTCGACGGTAGCGCAGCTACGTGGTGAATTCGATGACTATGATAGGCGCTCGCGAACGGTCAAAATTCGTGGTCCCTTGCGCTCTTCCTTCGTTTCCCTCGGCGTTGCCCTTATTCGCGGCATTCGGCCCGAGCGCAACTTCGCCGATCGAACCGGCCATTTAACGGACACACGGAGCGCGCGGCTGCTTCGTGTGTTTGCCGGAACGGTCTATCCTTTTGTTTGCGCCCCGGGATATTGCGCGAACGGTGCCGTTCGTGTTTATATTAAAATAATTCCGCTTCTGGGAACTCTAGAGTACACTCGCGACTGTTTGCTGGAACTCTACCGAGCGTATTGCTTGTGAAGCTGACTGTCAACCTATCTCTCCGAGTCACTCGTCGAGGACGAAGTGTCCTGAGATTCAGATAGTGATTTAGGAAATTTTGTATCGTCTTCACCCTTTGAGATGAAGATTCTTTGTAATATTAGAAATCTTCAACAGATGAAGCTCGATTATATATCAACTGCTTAATTCATTGATGAAAAGGAAACTCGCTGATCTCTTGCTGTTTGAGTAATTAAATCATTTGTTTATGATTTAGGTTTCCAAATATGAAAATTTCGTCTCGAAATGTCGAGATTCGCCCGTAAAACGATCGCTGGATTTTCCTGTTGCGAAGTTCAAACGTTGCCGAGGTATTTTCCAAAACGTTTGTCCCTTCCTAACAGGGTGAACACTTTCATATATGATTCACCGGGGTTCAGCTGAATATAGAAAGGCTACTTTAAACCGAGTGCTCTATCCGGGAGGTGAACTTTCGGCTCGATGCTCTCAATCGGGGTGGGCGCGATCATTTATACATCGATCGGCAGCTTCTTCTTTTTAAAATTCTCGAAAAGTCGGGGATTACCGCAGCTTTCTCTCGCGGAATCTGTATTAGATTGCGTCTCGCCGTGAATAATTTACGAACGAGGAAACTTCCAGTCGGTAACCCCATCGATAGACGTTATCAAGAGATTGCTTTAAGTCCGGAGTTACTTTCGAGCGTATCTTCCGCCGAAATCTCGTTACGGCGCCACATTAATTCCAATTACCCTACCCCATTAAATCCCGTCAAACGTCTCCGATCCTTACATCGCGATTCCCATGAATTTCAAAGAGACCGTCGAAACAATTCGTTCTATCATCAGCCGCGCCGCAACACCGGGAAACCGCGTGTCACCGACCATTTCCATATTCCGCGCGCTGAAACATCGGCGATCGACGTAACAACCGGAACTTCGTTATCGAGAGATTCGCAAGAAATACATGGACACTTCGGCGAGCCGGAGATAACCGATATCAATTGTTAATCCGATTCCTGAAACCGTTGCCGTCCCGGGCCGTCGACGCAATTAGTTCACGCCAGTTTCATTGAAGCCTGTCAATCGATAAAGCCAACGGTCTTTAATAACCGGGGAAACGTTTCGCAGTCGCGACCGGATTAATTCTAGTTTTTAATTAAAACCGCCGCGAGGCTATCGTCTCGATCCGCGCTTCGATTTCCGGATCGCGGGAATTCCGTCTTCCGTCGCGCCGATGGTTCGCCTATACGAAGTTCGCCGGTCGATCGGAGAGCAAATCGTGGCGCGCCGGCACCGTGTGTTTGCATTATCATGGCAGCCATTGTTTGGCCGGGACCGGGGAATTGAATTTCTGGGTACGAAACGCGACGCTTTGTGTCCACCCGCACGTCGGCGAAATTGGAAAATAAATCTCGTAAATATTTCGTTCAACGCCGCTCCCATTGTACGCCGGCTCTTATATTGTTCGAATATAATGCGAAGGGCGGCCGAGAATGTCTCCGGTAATTCTCCGAGGGTTCATCACGCGAGATTTCGGCAAACACGCGCGATTTCCGCGGGAATCTCACTTAGACTCGCCTTCCACGAGCAACCCGCGGAGCGGACGAGCCATGCTAATAGCTTCCGTCGTATTTTACGGGGAACGTGTGCCGGCTATGCATTACCGCGGGATATTCCCCTAGTTGCATTTTTTCGCCTTAAACTCTGCGATTTATCGCCCTGTTCCAATAACTGTTCCCTGGATCACGTTTCTGGCTCGCTTATTATCGTCGCTGTTCAAAAATTCGGCTTCCTTTCGCGGGAAACCTCGTAACTCGGGAACCAGAGGGAAATTTCAATGTATTCGTGGAGATACATTGGGAATTTCCGGCGATTTTTTCCGTAGATCACATTTATGGAGTCCCTTATAACTCGCGTGTTCCGAAAATGACGCGTCTTTCCGCGGGATAATTTGTATGCAAATGTATATTTAAATTCTGGAATAATTCTGTTTCTAGACGACATTCTCCAAATTATCATGGTCGTTATGTCGAAAAAATTCCATGTTCAGTTACGAAGCCTTTCATGTCTTGGTTAAAAAACGAATGATTTTTACATAAAAGGAAATGGAAACTGCAGCAGAATTCCTAATAATGCATCTACATTTACAATTGTCTTCCCCAAAATGTCCCGCGACTGGAAGCTACAAAGTTTCACTGGAATTGCATAAATAATTCTGAATATGTAGTAACATATTTATACACAGAACTCCCCGTCCGAGAAAATTGAATTCCAAGACCGACGTAATACACGAGCGTTCGTGGTTGCAATTAGCGGAAACGGCAAGTAATGAACTGGCACGTTAATCAAGTCCGATTCGATAGCATTTGTATTTCTTTCGAATTCTACCTCAGTTTCCTGGAAAACAAATCGTACCAACGAAATTTTATTTATCAGTTTCCGGGTATTTTCGGAACGTGTTTTAACATTAAATCAATACGCTAAAAAAACACGGTAAAATTTCCACCAGTTGATATTTCGTTTCACGAAAATACACCGGAACGAGTCGGTATTTTCAGTGAATTTTTTTATCGGTGAAAGAGGAAACAAGGTAAGCGTAATTAGCGAATTATTTCCGGTCGTAATTACTTTATTCTTTTCCAAGACAGGCCGTCTTTCGCGGAGTCGTTAAATTTTATAATTACGCGGTAGCCGTCGATGGAATCCATTCAGATCGTCTACGATGAATTAATGAAGGGCTAACTCCGTTCACACACGCACACATGAATATTTCCGGTAAATCGGACACGAGGATTTGGTATTTCCGCGGCCGCTGAGAACTTAAGCGTTCAGTCAGTGGAATTTTAAGGAACCTTAATTAGACTTCTCGGTAAAAAGAGAAATACTTGACGCCGGTCACGTTCTATTTAAGGCGTGTCCCATTATGTACACATTTAATGCCGTTTTCAACTGAGTTCCCGGCCGCCGGAATAGAGAATAATAATATTCTTTCTTCAAGGAAATCTCGGGAAAACATTCCCGCCGCCCTCGTGCCTTAATGAAATAATCATATTACACGAAGCCGGCGTTGACGTCAGATTTTCATGAGAATCCTTCTTAAAATTCACACTCCGACAAAGTAGCTGTTCTTAATATTTCCTCGCAGCTTCGGAACGAGAGTTACTCTGGAATTCCAAGCTATTGGAAATCCTAAACAAATATTTGAGAATTCCACGTCGACCCAGAAACAAAGCTACAATATCCTTTGAAACATTCAGAAAATCGTTCTGAAAGGACGAGGCATCGAAATTTCCAAGGAAACTACACTTTTCTATAGTAGTTTTGAAACTACAATTTTCTAATCACTTTCTTCTATAATTAATCCCTTCCAAGATCCTCTCAAACTAAAAAACAATTACTCTAAAACAAGTGACTGAAACTTCTTAGCAAACACTCGGCACCGAACAATTCGCCCTCGAATCGCGTGCAGACCGTTCGCGAGGAATGCAGCGAGTAAAAAGTATAAAAGCTTCTAATAGCTCTCCCGGGCGGGTAGATCACCGCAAACGATCACTGGCAGAGGCGAGCCAACAAATCCGCCGCAAGGAAAACGGCAATCGTCTTAAGTGACCGAAGCACCGCGGCCTCTCCTCGGCAAACACAGGAAATTTGCTCAAGGATCTCGGATTACTTTAGACTTAATTCGCCGTGGACCACCGACTGCTCGGGCACGCTTTCTCGAATTTCGGGGTTGTCCGCGGCGTGTTGCGAACTCGTAACTCGTCTTAAGGGGACCAGGGAGACGGTAGAATGTTACTTAAGCCATAACGACGCGACGCTTCGTCGTTTATGGCCGAAAAACACGCGGCGATGGTGTCGCGTTCAACCGAAACGGCGAACAGGTGTTGGAGATAAAGCGACGCCGTGCAAACATGGCAGTTTTTACTGAAATAATTATAATATCTCTCCATTATTACAGAAACACCGGATAAACCTTTCATCGAACACAGTAGAAACACAAATTAACCCTTTGCACTCGAGTGACTCTCAGTCACCACTTTGATTTGCAAAATTATAGTCTTATATATATAATATTAAGGTTTGTACGATGCATCGATATATGAAATATTGAAATATATATAAATTAAAAAGATACAGACGATGTTCTTTAAAACTAATTAATGAGGAAACTCTCAGTTACCGCTTGATTTGATTTGCAAAATTATAAAGTCTTATATGTAATATTAAGCTTTGTATGATGCATCAATACATGGAATATTGAAATAAAATAACTTTCAAGACTTTATAATTTTGCAAATCAAATCAAGTGGTAACTGAGAGTTTCCTCATTAATTAGTTTTAAAGAACATCGTCTGTCTCATCGAAGAATATCGAATATTTCCAGTGAAACACTTTCGAGTGCAAAGGGTTAACGGATAACAAACCATGGAACGTTCGAGGTAACTTTTTATTAATAAACTGGACGCGTTTCATGAATAAACGCTCGCGGTCCGTTAATTTCATTCTACTGGCAACAGAATTTCACGGCTGAAGGATTATATTAATATATTATACAAACGCGATGCCAGGTCCGAGTGAAACGCGAACGTGTCGGTGGATTGATCAGCTGACGCTCTCGCGAACGCAGCGATACTTTTCCGAGTGCCGGATGCCGTGTATCATTCCGATAGTTTCGGAACTAATTTAGCTACAATTTGCTCGGTTACGGGATCTTTAATTTTCATCCGTCGCGAGTTCTCCGAGCCAACGTTCGTCATATAAATCGTTGCCATCTGGAGGTTGGTAGTCGAGGCTCTCGTGCTTCCTGCTGAACATGAAATTCGTTGGCCGATCCACGTCGAGGAATTCCTTCTGGAAAGAATACAGCGGAGAGAAATACTCCTCCTCTCGACACGAATGGGTACTTCCCTTCTTATCAGGAGGCTTAATTCGCTTCTTTAGCGGCGGAATTTACTTACCGTGTCTCGGAGCCGATTGTACTCGCGATTGTATACTCTCGGCCCGTTTTTGCGATACTCGGGCATCGTGCTTGTACCGTGTAGAACCAATACGGCTGATCCTATTGTGCCGTTATTTTCCTTCGGTCCAATCTGTCAAGGTATTGTTCGTCAGATATTCTATTGCTTACTGTGCTTGGTAACTACTTATAATATTTCTTTTGTATTAACTCTAGAATTACCAAATAAAATAATCCATTTCTGACTTTTTCTTTCTGCAATGATCACAAAAATAACGGGTGTTCTCTGAACAGTTATCAACTGATTTAGCAATACGATGTATTAACTCTAGAACTATCAAACCGATCGAAATAATCTATCTCTGATTTCTTTCTGAAATGATCACAAAAATAACAGATGTTCTATTGCTTTCTATGTTTGGTAACTACTTATAATATTTCTCTTGTATTAACTCTAGAACCACCAAATAAAATTATCCATCTCTGACTTCTTCTTTCTGTAATGATCACAAAAATAACGGGTGTTCTCTGAACAGTTATTAACTGATTTAGCAATACGATGTAGTAACTCTAGAACTACCAAATCGATCAAAATAATCCATCTCTGATTTCTTTCTGCAATGATCACAAAAATAACGGATGTTCTCTGAAGTTATTAAAGAAACTGATTTAGTAATACGCAAACTGAATCATAGATCAATTAATCTTAACCCTTAGCACTCCAGGTTGTTTTGTAATCTATCAGCAACAGCAACTAATTTTTATAGTTTTATATTTTTATATTTCTGCGATTTTTTATTTTTCTTAGTACAAAATTCGGATGTGTGGAATCTAATAATTTTAGGGTAGTTTCTTTAAGATTCATTAAAATATTTAATATTATAACTGTTGCAATATTGGAGCTACAGAGTTCAAAGGGTTAATAGATACACTTCGAGTTTCCATAGAGGAATTTCAGAAAGTCAATTGAACTCGGTAGTTTCAATGTTAAATATTTTTATATTCCTTGTTAATTATTCAAAGTCAGAAGTTATCGTGTTAAACTGACTTGAAAGGATGATTCTAAAATTGTATTTATTATCAAGATATGTATCACTGTTAGATATGTTACTCCGAAATGTGGATCAGTCTTAATTGATATTAATCACCTCATCGACTATGTCCAACAGCCAGCTGCCGCGAGGATCCTCGCCCCAAGATGCCACGGACATAAATCTCCACTTCTCGAAACCGGCGGACGAGTTGTCCAACTTCCGGGGCTTTAGCAGCTGCACACGTGTCCCTTGAACATTGGGCGAGCCGAAAATGAATAATGCCTGGTCCGTGCTACTTTATTGAATAAATAAGCGATCACGCGGTGGCTCGATCGTGAAAGGGTCGTGAAAAATGGCGCGGTCCTTCGACCGCTGGAAATTTATATTATTTTAATAGAGTCCTATAAATTCCGACGAAACAATTCTTCAAAGGAAGTATGACTGTATCATTATTTCTTGTCTCAATTATTGCTTCATATGCTCGTTAACACGTCGAACGTCGCACGATTTCGCAGAGGAAAATATGCCGAATGGAAGAAATGTAATATTAATATATAATATAATATTATTACTATTCCACGTTCATCTAGCTGAATGTCACTGTATTATGTAACATTATTTATAATATAGAAATGTTTTCATATAATCATTGTTTCATTGAGTGAACTATAGTATTTAGATTCGGTCAGGGGTCACTGTATTATGTAGCATTATTTACAATATATAAATGTTTTCATATAATCGTTTCATTGAGTGAACTATAGTAATTCGATTTGGGGGTCACCGATGACCCCATGGCAGTCAACGTAATCTCTCTGGTGATCTTTATAGACATCAATTTAAAAATATTGCAAATCATCTCTGCTACATTCGTTTCGAAGTTGCGACCACTCGAAACGAATAATTCCCAGAGTTCCGTTCTCCCGGCGAACTCTCCGTCCGCCCTTTTCCCAAGCAAATTACATCAATTTATTTCCCGGGTTTCCCGGTTCGCGCGGAATCGAATTAAAATCATTAAAATTTTAGGCGCTCGTCGAACCATAATTGACCAATTCCAGCCGGCCGCCGTTCGCTGCCGTTAACAAAGGACGGAAGATTGCTCGGCCCCGTTCCCGTCCGACCTGAAACACAGTGTACCATCGAAACGCGGGGTTTTTCGAGTATTCCCCGCTCGCATCGACGCACGCAACATCGTTTATTAATATAACAGGTAACCGTGGGCGTGCACGGAATCGCGCGTAGCTGCACAATGCACGAGCCGCCGGCGCCGACGTTGCGAGGATCTCTGATTCGTCGGCCCAAATTAGCCCCGATTGAAACCGTTACGCTCGGATCCAGCTCGCGATCTCTCCGTTTTTACACGGCCGACGTTCTACCTCGTCGATCCAACCTTGTCCCGGCGGCAGCCGGAGGAAATCGACTAATCGATAGACAAGTGGAAGTCAAGAGCACGGTTAAGTGCACCTGCGAACTGCATCGGAGGAGCGAAGTCGCAATTTTCCGTGGTGCAACGCACGGGTCGCGAGTCGTTTCCCTTGATTTTCCTCAGCGGTAACTGGTTTTACCAACTACAGCTGGAATCTTTGAAATTTAGAAGTGAAGTTTAATGTTCTGAACGTTGCAACTTATATTTTCGAATGATAATGCTTCGTAGTTTTTTGACGTGTTTCCTAATGATAACGTTTTAAATATATTTTCGAACGGTAATAATTTCAATTTTGGAAGTAATTTATCGCTATCTCGACCAGTTTGTAATGAAGGAACCTTTGAAGTATCAAATCATAGAATTGAAGGCAATTAAGAATTAATCACCTGTTCCATGAACTGTCCGAGTACTGAAAAGACATTTTACGAGTGCATTGTAAGAATACAGCTTTGACGTTCCTCGAAATGGCTGTCCGGGAAGCTAACTCATCGTAGAACGCATAAATCTACAGAACAAGCGGACCGTTCGCGAAATCGACGTTAACCACTTGCGCTGGAAAGACGTGTTACGCGCGTCGTGATGTTTTTGTCTGAAAATTACCAACGACATATTGCACACGTCGATAGTCTTATTGGATTACATATTCCAGATTGCTCTGAAATCTACCACTTCGCACAAAAATTATTGGTAAACGACATTTGTGTGTACACTTGCGCAAAATTCTTCGCGCAAGATCCTGTGGAGCTTCTCAATTCGTTGTCAGCGCAAGTGGTTAAGATGGCGTTCCTCCGACGCATCCTCCAGGGGCCACCTGACTATGGTGGTATGGGAAGTGGCGATCCCAGAGTGCCCGAGCTAACCAAGGGTGTGGACGAGACACCTTGATCTAGCAACATTGCTTATTTATTTGTAAGAAGTCAAACAGGTGCCATAGGTCAATGGACAATGCAATGTAACCAATCCGGACATTGGCGTTGATTTCTTAATGACAGTGGTTGCATGAGCTAGATTTTTTGAGAGTTTTTTCGCGCAAAATCTGTTAGAGTTTTGGAAACTGAGTAAACGGCCTCAGCTGATTAAGCTTAATCTTAATCCACGAAGGTAGACCTTCATGTCAGGTGCTAGGCTAATAGGACTTCTCGCCGTTACTCGGACGCACCTGTCCGCACCGTAAAAATGTTATTTCCAGGGCGATCCACGCCTATAAAGCGCGTTCCAAGCGATAAATGCGTGGATGGGAGTGATATTTGCAGCGGATATCAAATGAATCCTCACGGCTGTTTTACAAGCTCGCGTGGCGATCTCCTTTAGCGGATTGCGCGAGAAACGCTCGGCACTTCGATTGTTACGGGGTAGAATCTCGTTTATTGCGTTTCGACGACACACCGTGAACATGATAAAAGCGGGAAGTGGAAAATGAAGGATTCTATTCTTAGTACTGCAGGAAGCTGACAGTATAAACTGATGCACTTGTAGCGCCAGAAATCTGCGAGCTAAAATGAATCGAATAAATTCGAATACTATTTCATCTTGTACAGAAAGTTTCTAATCTTTCGAAAGAAATATTCTCATTGATACAAACTTCCAGTTTATCCGTGAATCGCAAGATCCTCTACCTAATCAGAGTATAAATTCGAATACTATTTCATCTTGTATCCTATGTTTCTAATCTTTCAACATAAATATTCTCATTGATACAATCTTCCAGTTTATCCGTGAATCGCAAGATTTACCTAATCAGAGTATAAATTCGAATACTATTTCATCTTGTATCCAATGTTCCTAATCTTTCAACATAAATATTCTCATTGATACATTCTTCCAGTTTATCCGTGAATCGCAAGATCCTTACTAAATCAGAATATAAATTCGAATACTATTTCATCTTGTATAGAAAGTTTCTAATCTTTCAACAGAAATATTCTCATTGATACAATCTTCCAGTTTATCCGTGAATCGCAAGATTTACCTAATCAGAGTATAAATTCGAATACTATTTCATCTTGTATCCTATGTTTCTAATCTTTCAACATAAATATTCTCATTCATGCAATCTTCCAGTTTATCCGTCAATCGCAAGATTTACCTAATCAGAGAATCCACGTTCATTAGCTCTAATCCAAAATCACAACCGCGGATCACTGATGCATCCATTTCCAGCGTTCCAGCTTTCGATGCTTCGTAAATCAGGATCACGGGGAATAGAATCGGAATCCCGATTGACAGAATCAGGACAAGGGCCGACATCTCCACGGCTCGGAATTTCGATACCAACGTTTCTTTCCGGCCGGCTGTTAATTAACGCGTCGTCTTCCCCTTTCATCTGCCTCTCGTCCGTTTACAGGGAACGGAACGACATCAAAGAGCCGAAAGTCGAAAGTCGCGCGCGCGGATGAAAAGTGCATACCTGAGGGCGCGGTGAGGTGCATCTGGAGTGCGCCGCGAAGACTGTACTCGAGGCTGACCTCGATCTCCGCGTGTTCCAAAAACGTTATTCCGTTCGGCGACGATCGACACTCGTCCCCGGCCTCGAATCGCAGCCTCCTCGAGTCCCCGTAAGCCAGCCTCTCGTCGATTCTAAACCGAACGGCCGACTGTGAATCGTGTATTTCCGGTCCGTGCGCACGGTAATCTTGTCGATGGTGCTACTTGAAATTTCCTGAAATACCTAGGCAACCCGATACGTACCGGCGTGACGTTTGTCCATTGTTACGCGACTGTTGCCTTCGAACGTCCGTCGCTCGAGGATCGAGGTCTCGGATTCGGTAGAAGGGAAAATGCATTTCTGAGTGGCGGAAGATGGCTTAACTCTGCGCGGACCTTCGGTCGCACTTCATCTTCAACAGCGTAGAAATCTTATCGAATTTTGTTAGAAGTCATTTTAATATCGAAGCTACCAGGTGACCGAAGTTACTCGATGTGACCCATTTCTGATTTCTTCTCTTTACGGTTGGTAAAAAGACAGCAGATGTTTCTCTGAGAAATTATTAAAGAAATTGATTTAACGATACGTGAACTAGATTTTAAATTAATTGAAGTCTCGATAGATGTACTATGGGAGTTTCTATAGAGGAATTTCAGAAGTCAATTTAACTGCTCGGTTTAGTGTTGATTTCAAATAGAGAGTATGTTTTATAGAAATTCACAGAAATAATGTTACATTCTTCTAAAATATAATATTGGATTTCTGAATTTTTGATATAAAATTCGATAAGATTCATACGTTGTGCAAGATTGAGCTTTTTTTTGCATTCGTTTTGAAGGACATCGATATACCGCTCGTCTATTCGATAACTTAAGAATCAAACTGAGAAAATCAATGCTCAATGTTGTACTACTTTAAATATTCTATATTCTAAAATATAATATTGGATTTCTGAATTTTCGACAAAATTCGGTAAGATTCATACGTTGTGCAAGATTGAGCTTTCGTTTGCATTCGTTCTGAAGTACATCGATACGCGTCCATTCGATAACTTTAATCAAACTGAGAAAATCAATGCTCAATGTTGTACTACATTAAATATTCTACATTCTAAAATATAATATTGAATTCCTGAATTTTCTACAAAATTCGATAAGATTCATACGTTGTGCAAGATTGAAGAATTGAAAGAAAATCAATGCTGACTGTTGTACTGCTTTAAATATTCTACTACTAGTACTCATCAGTCAGTGTTCAAGTAAAAGATCTGGGTGGCGGACGCACACCGAGCCAGATAAGCCAGCGACGAATGTGTTAACCGACACGCGAGCATTCGTACGGAATATCCTTGAGACGTTCCACTTTTTCGACTGTCCTCCTCGCGGCGCGGTAACGAATGAGTGAAGTGGCTCCGCCTCGCTACGCTGAATTCAGCGGCGAGCTTCGCTGCGCTTTTTGAAGGGACAAGGACAACTCGAGGGCTGACGACGACGACGACGACGACGACGACGACGACTCTTTGATCGCAAGACGCTGGAAGCGTTCTCAGCGTCGATCCGCGCAAATTGTTCCCTTCGTTCTACTTGTTCTCGGAAATGGGAGCTCGGAGCAGTGTATCATTCGAAACGCGCGGAACTTTTCTAATTTCCCTGGAATTATGTTCCTCCTAGGTACTTCGACGATCGTAACCAGTCTTTCAAAAAATTCAGGGATGGGTCGTTAAAACGATCGAAGCAGGATAAGAGCTTCCTGAATTTCGAATTTCCGTTTTCGCTCTCTTGAAAACTGGAGAACGTAGCTTGCAGCGGTGCATTATTGGAGTATTTTTATATTTCCCAGCTAGTTTCGCTCGTGGCACGTTAAACATTCGAATGTTGTACTTCGAAAAGAATTCGAGCGACGTTTATTTCAATACGGGCGCGCGGAGAATTGAAAAACAGCTACAGCCACTGTGGAAATCGTGTTCTTTATTCTCTCTGTAGCTTAAAAATGGACCCACTGATAATACTGATATACGGAATAATTGAAAAGACGCGGAATATTAAAAGAATTTTCGTATATACTCTTTCCTGTTCGTTCGAGTAGATTCAAGTTCGATTAATCCCGAGCATGGTCGAACGGGTTAATTATTTGAACGCGTTAGGTGTCTGAAGAATTTATGAAAGAGAATTTCGGTTTGGCGGGCGCGGTAACACGGCTAAATATTCGATGTTTAAAGTGCCGCACGGTATCACGGTATTCGACCGTAGTAATCTAAATGGACCGTGAGAGGTAAATCCTACTTGCGCGGTGCTCGCGTGCGGTGTGTTCGGATAGACCGACCTGTGTCAATATTATCGATTGCACGGGACGCCTATCTATATCGCGTTTTAGAGGCTTGATAAATTCTTCGCTCGTACGGAAATTCGTGTGAACGGACGAAACGTTTTGCACGCGATTTAAAACCAGATCTAGAGTGTATCTTTATCGTCGCACTGAACGCTGCCGTTTCTTTCCTATTCATTTCGCAGACTGTTCATCAGTACAAAGTATCAAAAAATTAATCTCTTCTTTCTCGCCACTCGTTTCCATTTGCAACATCGCGCAGTATGGATATTAACGACGCAAGTTTCTTAGTACTCCCGCTAACTTATTTCATTGTTCCTGCACTTTGCGCTTTACTGGTCACATAAAGCGAGCGATAAGTGTTTACTCCGAGAGATAAGATCGTCAGAGTTTATATATTCAGGAACTGTCTAAATGCAACGCCGGAGAAAATCGTGTACATTAGATAACCGTGAAACGCGGATGAATCCGGAAGAAACGAATGGACAGAAACTCGCGAGCGACTCGTTACAGGGATCGATCGTCTCGAATACTTTCATAGCTGTATGTCTGTATCGCCGTTCGTCCACTCACATTTCGTCGGCGACCACTTCGCAAATGCTCTTCTCCGGGACGGTGGTCCAGTTGGAACTCGCGGCGACCAGCGCGAACGCGTTCATCAGTCCGAAGCCGAAGCGCGAGTTGAACCAGAAGCCGGCGGAGTTCCGGAACCAGCCAGGATTCTCCCTGAAAGTTGACGCGATTAAGCAGTTCGCGCGAGTAGGGGAACGACTCGCGTAAATTGGAACAGTCCCGACGAGTTCGCGGGCTGATCCTCTTTTTCCGCGAGAAGCTATCGCCTCGAATCGTCGCGCACGGTTAATTTCGCGTTCGTCCCCGATTTCGGGGACGTTCCGCGTTTTATACGTGTTTCGAGCCGGAAACCGAATCGCCGGCAATAAAATACTTTAGCCGACCGGCGCCTCGGCGAGGAACTTCGTCGAGCCGATATCGGCGCAGGATAAAAGCATTGTTCGTGGGATTTGATCGAGTGCTGGACACAATCGCGCAATCGGGTTAGCGAGTTCGGACCGTCACGCGTATCTTGACGCCGTGAATAGGGCCGAGGGTTTTTAATAAATCCGATTGCTTGTGTCAATCTTGCTGCGGGGCTTTTTGTTCAACTTCGTTCCAGCGGAATTCCCGGTTCCTATCTTCCCTTATTCAGGAAAAGGATTTTCAATGCTCCGCTGTTTTAACCCTTTGCACTCGAGAGGCGACTCTCAGTCACCACTTGATTTGATACAGTAAAACTATAAAATGTGATATTTAACCCTTTGCACTTCAGAGGCGCCTCTAAGTCACCAAATGATTTGACACAGCAAAACTGTAAACTTTCATATTTAATATTAAACTTTGTATAATGCATCAATGTACGAAATATTGAAAGAAAATGGTTCTCTTCCTCAGTGCATGTGAGATTTCTTAATTCAATCGAAGAAAATGACATCTGTATCTCATTAGAAAATATTGAATATTTCCGGTGAAAAACTTCTGGAGTGCAAAGGGTTAATGTTAAACTTTGTGTAATGCCTCGATACGCGAAACATTGGAATAAAACAGCTTCGTTCCTCAATGTACTGGTGATTTCTCTTCGAATTAGTCTCATAATTAATAATAATAATAATAATAATTCTTTAATAATAATAATAATAATAATAATAATAATAATAATAATAATAATAATAATTCTTTAATAATAATAATAATTCTTTAATAATAATAATAATAATAATAATAATAATAATTTTTCAAGGAAAATCGTCTTCTCCTCATAAAGAAATGTTAAATATTTCTAGTAAGAAACATCCGAGTGCAAAGGGTTAACTATTCATCGAAGCTTCCCGACAGAATGGAATTCATTTGGGAAATCAGTATTTTTATAGATACTATGTATAGTTTGTTTAATCTATTAACCCTTTGAACTCTGTAGGCTCCAATATTGCACCAGTTCTAATATTAAATATTTTAATGAATCTTAAACAGACTAGCCTAAAATTATTCGAGTTTCCACACATCCAAATTTTCTGCTAAGGAAAATAAAAGATCTAAGAAATGTTATAGCATTTCTAATTTTCGCTAGGAATACTATAAAAATTAGTTGCAGTTGCTGATAGATTACAAAACAACCTGGAGTGCTAAGGGTTAACAGTTGCGATGATAAGGAAACCATTTTCAGGGACTGAATTAAAAGTTAAGGAAAGAGATTGCACTTTTAACTTATAATCTGATTGCTCGCGATCTTCTGCAATAATTGGGTTTATCCGAAACAAATATTTCTATAGACGTCGTCTTTAAACAACGGACTTTAGTGAACGAAGTAAA